CCCCCCTTGTCTCCCCTCTTCTTCCCTACCGTTCCTTTCTCCCCTCTCCCTTTCCATCCCCCCTCTTCTCCCCACTCTTCCTTTCTCCGAGTGTTTCAACCTGAAAGCTAGATTCGCTCCTACTAGCCTTTAGCATGTCAGCAGGCGTTGCGTCGATAAAACGTTCTTCGGTGTAATGTTCTTCAATTGTGCATAATTTTATTAAACAAATAAATGATAATTTACCTACCTAGACTTTTACTGTAATTGCATATAAATACACAATCATTTATCTAGAGCTGTGGTAAATTATTTATAAGTTGGTTGTCTGACAACTGATTATTAGTATTTTTATTTCTTTTTTTTAAATAGCTCTTTCACAATTCGGTCCATCAGTGAGTAACTTTGTTACCTTTTAAAATGGCTCTATTTAGCTGTGCAGGTATATTTTTCTGCGGACGTCGACTATTTCGGCGTGCATGTATTGTAGTCTCTGACTTAAACTTGCTAATACTATACAAACACAACTGGCCGACTTTATCAGGATCGATGTACGAATCAAAGTGGTTCCTAATGAATATCGACTGTACTGCCCAATAGCCAGCTCATTACCTAAGTTTATAATATAGCTAGGACCCTGCCCGCGCTCTGATTGGTCAAAAACCCATGTTTTATCAAAGTATAAAACATAGAAAAAGCGTGTTTTATTGTTTTTCGCGAGCAAAATCTATTTCATAAAGCAAACGAAGAAGCCTGAGCCGAGTATTATACTGCGATAAAAAACTCCGGACATTTGAGAACACTCGAGAAATGCCCGTCGCGTTTTATCACAGTGTAATACACGGCTTAGGCTTCTTTATTTGTTAAATAAACGATCATATTAACTTTGGTTTAGCTATAAGCAATCGTCTTAACGTCGGTTTGAGCGGTTTTCAATTGAGTGTCGTAAAACCAAAACCATAGTAATCACTCTGGCCAGTCACAAAGGACACAGACGATACAGTGAGCCAATCAAAACTCGAAGTAATTACATGTAGCTGACGCAAAGAGCATAAGCAATTATATTAACGCTGATTGATGATTCATTCTACCAATTAGAGTAGTTTTTATTGAGTGTTGTATAACCAAAACCGAAGTAATCAGTCTAGCTAATCAGAAATTACACAAAGAAACACAATGATCCAGTTCAAACTCAAAGCAAATGCATGTAGGGGACCAGCGCTGGAAAACGGGTGCGGGCCAGTCGCGACGATTATTAGGTTTTCTTCTGATTGGATGACAAAATGGTGAAGGACTTTTTAAGCCAAGCACTTAGTGGATTGTTCAAAACAAAACCAAAGCAAACACGACTAATTTCCGACACTCATATAAAAACCGCTCTGCATAGCAAACTTAAAAGAAGCTTTATTTTATTGCGGTCCCAACTTTAGATAAAGAAAAATTGGAAACCTTCAATCATTTGTGCAAAAGGGTGCTACTTAAAATAGTCTTCTCTGTAAAGACTAGAGCGAGGTGCTCCTTCATGGTTCGTGAACGGAGTAATCAGGTCACGATTTTGCTCTCCAGTTGAATACGCAGTTGATCAAAAGTTGGTCTTGCGCTTGGATTTGGGTTCCAACAGGATCTCATAACCTGGTACCTAGAAAGAAAGCAGCGATAATATCATAAATTGAGCAAGATCCTTGTTACAAATGTACTAATTTATTTGGTCCTCCTCTAATTCTAATATTGGTGCCAAAGTATCAAACATATTCTCCCATCCCGCTTTTCTACCTGACAAGAGATTAGCAATTTGTTGGCTCTTCATTGGTTAATCAAAAAAAAAAAAAAAGGAAGATCAGAATTCATTCATGTTTCCCCTTTACCATAGGATCCCGTCTCTACCGAAATGGGGTATACCATGGGTAGTTTATGCCGGTTACTGTTTCGAAGATTTGAAGGTGAAGTTACAAACGCCGGCTATCCTTGATAATTCATTACGTTTAAATAAAAGAAATGTTGACCGTGACAGTGTTTGGATGTCTCATCTCAGTTAGTTAGAATTTTCCATTTTCTCCTCAGTTTTAGTTCTGATTGAGAGGATATATCAGACACTCAAGTCTGTGTTTGACCAAATTTCTAAACAGCTCGAGTTCCTCAAAAATACGCCGCTAAGCGTCGTATTTTCAACGCTCTTCTCGGTGTTTGGAAATGTGGTGAAACATGGTCTTTTGTATTTAAAATATTACTTCAAATCGTAATAGAATAACTAATGGAGTATCCATAAGCGTATGTCTTACATTTCCTCTGAGCATCCATCGGGCTTTTCCAACCGATAGCCTTTCTTTAACTCCGCAATCAGCTCTTGAGTACTAAGACCAGCATAAGGTTTAAGACCTGTTTATAACATAATAGCGAAAGAAGTGTCATCTGATCATTCGATTCATTTATCCCACCACGTAACCTACAAAAGTCTGCGTAATACCGTCTTAATGTGTTTGGCTCCAAATAATTTTAATATTCTGCTCATGGGTTATTGTAAAAAAAAAAAAACTGCACTTTCGTCTAACGTGATTATAATAATAATAATTGTGTCAAAATTGGACGAAACTATAAGGTCTATAACCAACTTAATTAGCATTTAAAATGAATATGGAATGAGATCAAATAAAATAAGCATTTTACCTCCTGACTCTATCTCCCAGAGCAGCACGCCATACGACCATCTGCCGAAAGACATCATTCGAATAAATCACAGTGAAAAATATATCAGCAGAAATAATAACTATTGTACGTCCTGGGTGAAAGGCAAGAGGGAAGGTACTAATTCTTTAGGAATGGCTTTTCTCTAAGAATCGTTCGTCTAAAAATCTAGATTGAGTGGACTCGATGGATTTGCGGATTTTGCTTTGAACGTAGTTATAAATTATTGTTACACAAACTTCTCGATCAGAATCAACAAAATGTTATTGCAAATGCAACTGTCCAAAATGGATTTGGCTGATTTGTTCAAGAGAAAAACCACTATTCTGATTTCACTATTTCTGATGATCACTCGTTTTTATCCGTAATTGCCAATTCCCTCCTTGATTCTAGCATGTAGGCAATCATGGTAGTTGTATTCATCATCTTGAACTGGATATTTGTGTTCATGAATACAGCTAAGATGATTACCCGCAGATACGTCTCATAGATGGAATTGCCCATTTATCCTATTATTTTGTTATTTGTTATTGCTCTTATTCTTAAAACTCCGATTTGGCTTATTGTCTCGATACCGCTAACATTCTTTTCAGTGGTAATTTTGTTAATTCTAAAGTTACTTACACATCTGACTCAATCGTGAAAATGTACGTTTGTAAGGATTCAATAGCCATCCATTTTACGGGAAGTTTACCCTGAAAGATAAAACACAAGATGTTAATTATGAGGTTACCTGCAACACGGGAATTAAATCTCTTTGTGATACCCCCCAACTCAAACAAGTTTTCCAATTGGAGGACAACGTGTCACTTGTCACGGGTCAAACCTCACTAACTCCTTCGGGTAAACAAAACTCACTAACTCCCTACGGAAACTTTGGACTCGCAGGTGATCAGGTCGTTCACCTTGAAACCGCGGTAAATTTGTGTGCCACCCGGCCTCAAGCAAATAATTTTTTCGCAGTTTTTTTATTATTATTATTTTTTTAGTTGGAAGGCATAACCAAATGCTTAATGACTGGCTCCATGGAAACAGTGAGTTTTGTTTCCCCTCGGCCTTCCATGTTTCCCTCGGCTTCAGTCGCCTCGGGGAACATTGAGGGTCTCGGGGAAACAAAACTCATTAACTTCTCAACGAGTAATAGTTTTCTGGGTACAAAAATCTGGTAAGCATGGCGAAAGTGTCAAAATACAGAGAAGCGCCCTTCTAGGAGAGGGTGACGGGATTACAGTAATTAGCACAAGACCCTAATAAACCTCTAGACTAAAGAAATACTTTATTATAAACACAGATGCCGAAGTGGTATATTCTCCATTGCTGAAATTTTTGAATACCTGAGTTTCCTTTTTATACATCAATTCCTCATAAACATCCCGGGCCATTCCATAATCAGACACCTTGGCGACGTAGTCTTTTCCAAGTAACACATTCCTTGCTGCAAGATCTCGGTGAATACACTATAATAAAAATAAAATATAACTCAATTAAAGCAAAGAAAAATTTAATGAAGAAATCCCCCAAAAGGTTAGCTTCCATTATTTTAAGCTCATGCTGCTTCTAAAGATTGCGATTTTTTTTTTCTCTAAGAGTTGAAGAACCGTAGCAACACTGTAATTTGAATTGAAAAACGTTCTCTGACTGTTATAGTTTGAAAATATATGATCTTCTTTGTCTAACACTTGTAGCTGTGATATGCACAGGATCATTTTAAATCTATTAAGGTCATTGTTAACGAGATGAAGTTTTCTTTAAAACAGCATAACTTTGCAAAGAGCACAGGAAACTACAGTAAATTGATTAATACAAATCTCAACTCGGCTTTCAAATCAATTTTTCTAGTCCTTTGATCTGACATAGTTGAAGTATAGTGTCAAAGGAAAGGTGTCTATGGCTGGTTATCGAAAGCTTCTTTTCTAATTTTCAACTGCTACCCAAAGTACAAATGAACTGCTGATTTGGATACGAAGATTCTATAGATCAAAACAGAACAGTTTCTAGGGAGAGAAGTACAGGAATTCAAAGATGCAACTGGATTGCAGTTCAGCAAATCTGATTTCACTTTCGGCAGCCGGAGGCCTTTCTGAAGAAAATCGCCTAAGATTCCGTCTTACTGTTACTAATACTCTATAAATACACAGCTTACTCTACACTTCGCTAGATGAGCCATTCCTCTTGCAACGTCAGTGGCTATTCCAGTTTTCATTTCTTCTGTTAGCCCGCTTTTAACGATCTCATAGCTTTGGTCCGTTTGTCGAGATTTTTTCAAGAACTCTATCAAGCTGCCATTTTCTGCGATCTCTAAGACAACGAGTAGGTGACCTGTTGAGAACCAAAGATGTTGAACGTGTTACAGCTAAGTCAATTGCTATGGTAAAATCCCAGTTGTGTTGTATTAGACAATTTGGATGGCCAGCATCGTATTCGTGCACGGTTATAGACCTTCCAACATTAATCTCAACATCTTTCTTTGCCCCATTGAATATTTCCGCTCTTTTAAAAACAATTTTCCTCTATTACATATGCTTAGACTAAAGATAATTAAACAACCCACCGTAGGAACAAAAATGGTGGCTGTACATTTTACCACAATGCCTTGCGAACCTAACACAGCCTACAAAGCACGAAGAAGGCCAAACTTCTACAATATTTGTCCCTGTACTAAGGACATTGAGTAGCTTAGTTTTGAAGATTTTGTAACGTTTCTGTACGTTTTTATAAACGTTGTTAAGGTTTTCGTGCGCTGAGAACTATGGGTGAATGTACCAGTCGCCATCTTTTTTCCTACGGAGGATTTTAGTATTGCTCAAGTTCAGTATGGGAAACAACTGCCTTTTAGCAAATCTCGTTGAGACGCTCGAGTTTCCAATTCTTAGTATTTTTTTACCAATCAAAAGCACTTATAAATGCTGTGAAATAAATCACGTAAGCATGATGTAATGAAGATAAGTCGTGTAGCTTAGCAACAATGGTGACTAAAACTTCACACATAACAAAACTGGTACTGAACCCTGAGATATAGCACGTGATTTATAGGTTGAGTGTTTCTTGTTACACCCGAACTGTTCTAAAATTGCACTGTGCTGTTATGTTGTTAACCTAAGTCAGCAGAGACAACAGTACAAGGCGTAACTTCGTGTACTACGTCACGAAGTTTCTAAGGAGAAATCTAATAACTTTGTTTACAAGAAAAACCTTTTTTCGCGAAGAAAGTGCTGCCCAAATTATGACCAAGCTGGAATTATGTACTTTTTTTCATAATTAGTCATGACTTTGAATGGTAAATTCGTTACTAACCATCTTCTGTGCAAGCTCCAATCAAGTTAACAAGGTTTGGATGATAACCCACATTGCCCATTATTTCCAGCTCGTTGTACAAGTCACGGACTTCTTCTCTTGATGCAGAAGCTGGTGAAAGAAGGAATTAAAATTCGGCTTAATTTCGATAATATTTTCAGTGAACACATTTAAAATGGGCGTTCACTAACTCAATGCAAAGTAGCAGGTGAACCATTCAGATAAACGTTATTTCAAATAGGAAAGACAATGGTAAATAATGGTAAATCCTTTATCATAACTCTACAAGACCTAGTCTACCCTACCCTGCCCTAGCCTGATTAAATCCCCCCCAAACCTTGCCCAGTAAACATAGCCCCCTAATCCTACCCTGCCATATCCTATATCCCAATTAATCTACACCACACCACGCCAAGAGACGCTACGTCACACTACGTCTCCTACTCTACCTTTGCCCACCCCACCCTACCCTACCCTAGCCCACCCCTAAGTTACCTTCCCCTTCCTTGCCCTGCCCTGAATTGAACTGCACTGCACTACACTTACTAGAGCAAAATAAAATAATAAAAAAAAATATAGCGAATTCCAGACTCACGTTTCAGCGACTTCACTGCGCAAGGCAATACATTCCCACTTTCTTGTAAATACTCTCCTTTGTACACGACACCGAATGCTCCTGAGCCAAGCTCATCTAGTAGCTTCAGGTCCTTGTATGGAATTTCGTCCCAAGATACTTCGGACGGCTTGTAAGCATCGTTTGAGTATGAATATACCAATCCTTTGACATTCTTACTTTCATATCCGGCAACTTCATGCTGAAAGATACGAAACGCATTTGGTGTCACACTCAAGTGACTTAAGACATTTAAATACGCAGCATTATTTCTACTGTTAGGCCTACCATCCACACTAATCCGTCACGAAAACGGAGCTTTTCAAACCGGAAAAATGTGAAAACGCTAGCTTTGCGTCTTAATGCGTCTTAACAATTTGAAAACGGAGCTTTCCGAAAACTATGATGTTACGATAATCATGTGATTTCCCCGACCGAGTTTTCCTCAAACACAAATCCAAAATGACCGGTGATTGCTGCGTTTTCAAATTTCTCCGGGGCAGTGTGAACGGGGCCTGAGACTTGAGATCTGTAGATTTACTGATAGATGAGAATTGGGCTGAAATTTGAACTGTAAACTAAAAAATCGCCGAAAATTTCTCCGATATCTGGGATTTTAGCACCCAGTCCAGGCTCTGTTAATGCACTATGAAATAATTGTCTCTTACCGTCGGAGACTCAAGTTCAAGTGCATCAAAACGAGATCCTTGTTGTTGCACTTCTCTCTTCCGGTCTTTTTTGCGTTTGTACACAATCAATACCACAAGTATGACGAGAACAAGAAGAATTACTAACACTACGACAACGATGATCCACCATGCGAAAGCTGGAATAAACACCAAAGATTTGTTAAGTTTGATTGGAGGACTATAGCAACAACATGTATGTAATTAAGGATTTACACTACGAGTGACATTTGAACATCCTCAAAATTCCACGAGCGAGTGCAATTTCAAATATCACGAGTAGTGTATGTACGCTTAATTACTAAAGCTTTAGTACGATCACTCGTTTATTATGTTACTGAGAAAATTGCGAGCACGTGTGCGTTAATTTGAACTACAGTGCAAATTAATAATTAACTATCAATATATATGTTCTCAGCCAATCAAAATGAGGTAATTTCCTCAGCTATAAATGCAACAGTACGTCCCCCTCCACACACACACCCCTAAATAAAAAATGCTCCTATAAAGCGTGAGTCAACCTCTCTTCTAGTTTATTGAAGACGATATGCAACCATTGCCATCATGTTTTTGCTTTTCCCTTGTTTTTCTTTTCTCCCTAATTGACTTGTTAATAACTGTTTCGGGCACGTGAGAGCTGAATTGGAGAGCATGAGATAAGTATAAGACTTTTTCGAGAAGAAGCCAAGAGCAACTCTGGGCTCTTGGAGCTCTCTAAACGCCCAAGCGATCTAAAGAAATAAATGAAAATACACAAAAATGGAATAAAACCGGCTTACGTGTAACGTCAGTTTTATGAGCAGTTTCGTCGTTGAAATTGTCGCCATATTGGTTCACGGCACCAACTCGTATCATGTAAGTCGTTTCAGGCTCCAGCGGTTGAATTCTGATAGTGTATTGTGTCTTGTCATCTGAAGCGGGTTGAGAGGTATTGGTGTAGAGTTTCTCTTCGAATTTTCTGTGTTGGACCACGTACTTTTGAATCTGAAACGAATCAGCGTCTTCAGAAGGATTCCATCGAACGCTTAACTCGTCCGAATCTATTCCAAAGATCTCCACATTTCCAGGTTCTAAAGGAACAGCTGAAAAGTGAAATAACAGGCAGTAATTTTTTGTAACTGAGAGCCAAAGCGCGGCTTTCACCCTATAATAGGGCGATGCGTGGCCGAGGACGGTCGTAATAGAAAATACAGCCAATTAGAATACAGACTGTATACTCGACGGTATTACATCCAACCTTCCCATCATGCGCCGCGCGTATGTCGCAATGACTGTGTTGGCCACTGCATTTTCTACAGAATGGAATAAAATAGTTATGCAAACGCTTTCTCGTGGCATACCATGGCATACCCCACTTGTCACTTGTATTTTCTCGGTATACGCACTGACCTAAAGACTCGTGTGTATAACGTGAAAATACAAGTGACAAGATAATCCACGGTATAACACTCAAAAGTGTTGCATACCCAATATGTACACGCAGTAATATATAAATAAGTACTACAACACAATATATCGGTTTTATTTAATTAATCTGACATGGTCTTAAATAGAGTCAACTATGTGGTTTTTTTTTATTTTAGTCAGAAATCGACTAAGACATTTTCACGAGCCACTATAGCACGTTTATATTAACGTTTACAACTGTTTCCATCGGTGTTTAATTCTCGAACTAAAGAGAGAGAGAAAAATAATCAAAAAAGGAAAATATCGTTCTGTAGGACAACGTGCAATCTAGTGCTTCAGCTTCACAAACAACCACGTCTACAGGCTGGTAAGGATCCGGAAATTATATTTAAGCTTTTTCATGTGGTTTCAAATAGAGCCAGGATTTGCACAACTGTAGGCAGCCCATCCCAACATCCAGGAAGCCAGCTTTATGAAGGTTATAAAATCTGCTGCACTACCCAACGAACAAAAAGCTTTTAGAATATTAATACATAGCGCACATCTTCACGAATAAGAAGCTCTAAGAAGATTAAAACCCGGCGCACGCACTCACAGACAAGAAGCTTTAGGAGGATTAAAACTGGGCGATACTGCCAAGGTGAATCCCTCTTTCTGGGTGACGTGGAAATATGATGAACACTGTATTGTTAGATTTTCTAGCAATGGCCTAAGACCAAAAGGCATCCCTCTTTATTTAGGTTTGCCGATAGCCGGGGATCGACATCATTTTTCCAATTGTAAATAGCACTTACTTTTAACTATGACTTGCTTCACTTTTAGCCTCTCCACTACCCCAGTCTTTGCTCTCACAACAACCCTCTGAGCAGCTTCGGCCTTCACGTCTGGCAGATCCGTGGCGTTTTCGGGATCATTGGTCACCAGAACAATAACGATCTTGAAATCGACCTTAACGCTTCCTTTTCTGAAGGAAAATTCCGTATGTTACTTTAAACAGTTATCCAGTATTCTTTGGTAATTACGTGCGCACAGATGGAGTAATGGCAACGATACACTCTGTTATAAGATCCTAACTATTGTAAGTACTAAGGCAAACATTCTTTTTAACACGCCGTATAGAAAGTTATTGAAAGTTGAAATCTTTTCCCAGAGCTTTGTTTTTTTCTCATCACATAAGTATGGGGAGAATGAATAAACAAGGTTCATTCAGCAGATACAACCTGGATTAGCGTTTCGAAATGGTTTCACTTGGTGCTTCTAATATATATTTAATTGATGCTTGGCAGATATATTATTTTCGTCATTCAGTGATTCGTATTTAAAACTATAACAACGGGTATTTTCTCGCCATCAAAATTGCACACGAAGAGAAGTATCGATAAGCTAAGCAACTGCACACGAGCAAATTTGTTGTGACATGCTTTTATGAAATAATTTAATATGCTTTATTTATTTGCTCGTGTACACGACAAAATATGACAAGGCCTTCTTTCTTTGTCATGTTCGACTCACGTCTGGTTGGTCAAGGAGCGAGAGCAAGTACTAAAACTTGAAAGTTGTGTCAGGAAAGGTTGACTACTTACTTAAAACCTAAAACGTCCGTTCTCACGTAGCCTGGAGTTACTCCTCTGTGCACATTATCCATCTGTAAGGTAGAAATGTAGCTGATAGTTTAATAAGACTTGAGTTTTTCTAGCTTGAAATGTCGATTTTCTTTTTCTGCCATAACCAATAAGTTAATCCTGGGTGATAAAGTCGAATGAAATTACACCTCGTCGAATGATTTTCATTCATTTACTGATTCCTCCTTTTATTGATTGATCGATAAAGCAGTTCAGAGCTAATTACTCAGCCAATCAGCCAGCCGATCGGTCGGTCGGTCTGTCGGTCAGTCGTTTGGTTAGCCAGGCAGGGAGTCAGTCAATCAAACGGTCAGCTAGCCCACCGGTCTATAACATATTCGTTAGTCAGCAAATCAATCAATCGATCGATCGATCGGTCGGTCGGTCAATCAATCAATCAATCAATCAATCAATCAATCAATCAATCAATCAATCAATCAATCAATCAATCAATTAATTAGGCAGCCAGCCAGCCAGCCAGCCAGCCAGTCAGTCAGTCAGTCAGTCAGTCAGTCAATCAACCAATCAACCAAAGCAGTTTCTTCATCCCTTCATTCGCAATTGCTTTACAAGATTTTGCCTGTTCACACATTTCTTTATAGGCTGTCTGTAACAGGCCCTTATAATCGAATGGGCGGGTGATTTACATGTCTAATGTCATAATAGGATCATTTGCAAGGTTGTTGTGCGGAAAAACTCACATAAGTCAATAACGAATCACCACAAGAACGTGTTTTACCTCAGTAGTAAAATTTTTCTCGGTTTCCTTGTAAACGGGGGATGATTTGTTCTTCAACTCCTCTGTGAACACGTAATTCTCAACCACCAGTTCCATCTCCACCTCTAGTTTAACTGCGAATAAAAAGAAGAAATAAAGTATATTACAAAAACAGCAAATAAAAAATAAATTAAAGAAGTTTATTATATGAAGACCGATGAAATATCTCGTGAGCTTCCGTGCAAAAACATGATATCTTCACACGTTAAAATAACATGTTGCCTTCACTTGAAAAGATCAGCGATGATATGTTTACATACAATAAACTGCGCCTTTCGCAGCAAAAGTGAAATAATTTGGTATTCCATTGCTTATATAATAAATAGAACTTTACATGGCCACTTGGAGATACGAAATTTTTCTCTTGGATTGATTTGAAAATTGCCTGCATCGCATACCATCACCGCACTGTCCCGGCTGTATAGGGTTAGAAGAATTCAGAACTGCGGTGCTGAATTTGTTTCTGCATTTACAGACTTGACCTTGACATTAACCTACCTAAAACTTGGATCCAGATTGTGTGCTGATCTTTCCCATTTCTGCACTCGTACACCCCAGTATCAGCGATCGACACATTTTCTATGCGGAGTAAGACTCCATCAATTATCCTGGTTTTGGTTTGCACCACCTCTCCGTCTCGCCGTGACCATGAGGGCGTATTCGTTTCAATGGAGCAGTTTACAGTGAGGTCTTCGCCCTCGGTTACATTGACGACAAGTGTTGTATTGCGCCCTGGGACTATGACAACTAAAACGGAAACATACTTCATGTAAGTCATATTGTTCTTATTTATTTAATATAACTTGGTCTCGGTTGCTCATATTTGTAAAATAAATTACTTATTATATAGCGAGGTTATTCTCAAAAGGAAAACAGTGTAATCATATGCTTTGAGAGTATCTTTATAATTAAAATGCAGAAAATCGACAGCTTACAAAGTTCGCACGAAAAACCTCATGCCGCCTTTGGTTGGTTAACTTTTAGCTTGCGAGTACAAAACCTATTTTCTCTGATGACGATATCGGTAAAAAAATTCGCGGCCAATTCTGGTTAAAATTCGACAGCAAAGATCTTGAAGCTCTCTGTAATTTCAACTTTATGATGGCAGCTAGTAATTTAGCGGAAGATAATTGGTCACAATTCACCATGTCTTGAAAGCTGAACTGTCTTTCAAGAGCTGCAGCGTAATATTCCCGGCATACGCTGTGCGCCGTTCGTTTCGGATGAGGCGAGGGGAAGAGACTACAAATGTCTTGAAAGCGCATTATCTTTCAAGCGTCTTCCCCTCAATGCTTAACTTCGATGTATTGCAGAGTGTAGTGAAAAAATGTTTCTTGAAAGCGGGTCTTTCAAGATTGTTTACCCCGACGCTTTTGCATGTTTGTCTTGAAAGCGAGTCTTTCAAGAGCGAAATGCAGCACAAAACCCACAAGAAATTTTAAATGTGAAAGCCACCGATTTCGTGTTAACGGTATTAAAAAACGCGTAGGCCTGGTGACGATAATGATCAACGATAGGTGACACGCGCATGCGCAATTAATTCATATCGCTCACTTACCTAAATCTCGCTTAACGTATGCTCGGAATTTTTCTACTCCTTGGCAAGTCTAGTGCAAGCAAGTGTTAGCAATTCTCACAACATTTCATAAACCATGATAAAAGAGAGAAGAAAGATACTTATCTGACAAATAGCTATTGTTGCTCATCTCTTCTTAGTCTGCGGAAAAAAAAAAAAGCAATAAGACAAAGATTGATTAATAAGCTTAGAGCGGTATTCAATTGAGTGCCATAAAACCAAAACCAAACCAGTTATTTACCAATTAGACTACTCAGCCAATCTCAAACCGTAGTAAAACCAAAACCAAACTAATTGCCTGATTACTTTCGACACTCAAATGAAAATCGCTATAAACATCAGAAATTGTATGACATATTTTGTTTTAGAAAACAGGCGCTATGAAATGACAGGTGTTGATAAACTTTTTCTTATAATTGCGTTATTTGCCATGTAACAATTCGGTGACAAGACAAATAAATAATGAGCCCGGGCGAGGGGTACTCGCTTATAAGGGCTATATAGGTATGTGCGGCCCCAAAGGGTAGGGTTTTTCAGCCGTTTTGGTCATAAATAGGGAATCGATTTTGGCCATTTTGGTCTTAAATAGGGTATGGTTTTAGCACTCTAGTCTTGAGTTGGGTATGTTTCTACGAAGAAGCTATTTTTTCATCATTATCAATAAGACCGTTAACAAAAGCCCCTTATAACTTATGTTTAGGGCAACTGCGCCAGCCGCAACGGTCATAAATAGGGTATCGAATTTTTGGCCAGGTCTTAAATAGGGTAGCAAAAATCGAAGATTTTTGTCATAGATAGGGTAAGGATTTTGGGAAGTGGGCCGCACACCCTCACCCAACTTTTCTGGGAGTACCTCCCCCACTGCACTCCCGAGATAATGAGATTCGTTTTATTTCACATAATCATTTGCTTTCGTGACTATTCTCCCTAGAAAGGATAACTTGTTAGGGATTTATAGCAATTGTCAATTTGGGAGTATGTAATTTAAGTTATTTAGAATTATAGTCTGCGGGACAAAAAAAAAGCAATAACACAGACATTAATTAACACACAAAAGCATCCTAAATGTTATGACATACTTTGTTTTAGGAAAGAGGTGCTATGGAATGACAGCTGTTGATGAACATTTCCTTATAATTGCGATATTTGCCAAGCAGCAATTCGGTGCGGACAAGACAAATGAATAATGAGATTTGTTTAATTTCATTTAACAGTTCGTTTTCGTGACTATTTTCCCTGAAATGATAACCTGTTGGAGATTTATTGCACATTGTTTGTAAAAGTTATTTAGCACTATAGATCGTTTTCATGTGACGTCATCACTTCTAAAATCGAAATCTAAAGAGCCACCAAAGTTTTTATACCCATCAGGCATAAGAGGGGGTAAATTTATATCTGTTTACAATGTTACAGCTCAATAGTGTGCTTCGTTTGAAAACCAGCGTATTTCGAATTTCAGAGTTATGGCGGTGCGTGACACAAAGCTACAATCGCATTTGTCGAAAAATATATACCTATCTCATGATTTTTAACTTTTTTAGAAGTATGTAAATGTTTTTTTGTTCAGTACAGATAATCAGTCGCCTAGATAGCCAAAGTAAGTTCCAGGTCGCCATATTAGTGCACCACAGAGGTGCACCAACATCAGCGTTTCCATACAAGGCTCTGTAAATTTCTGCGAAACATTTCAACAAATATCTGCAGTCTGGGAAAACGCGCAAGTCTAAAACTTGGAGAAGTGTCTTCTCTATCTATTTCCTATAGCATCACAGTTTCTTGACTTTATCTACTGAATGGTTTTCGATTTATTTTTTTTTATTGCGTGGCAGTGAAAACGATCTATATAACAGTTCGTGTTGAGGCAAGTTCTGCCCGAGATTAAAAAGTTGAATCTAAACATCCGTTTTGTATGACACGTTCACGGTCCAATATCTTGTTGTTCATTATTTCAGTGACTTTGGCTTGAATATAAATTTTCGACGTAATACAGACTGAACTTAAAAAGTCGTAGAGTGCACGCATCTGAGAAAAACAGTCGGACTCTTCAAATGACTGCTCTATGTTAATTCTTCGCTTTCTCTTGTATTGTTTAAAAACAAAAGAAAATATCCATCTGGAAGTGATTGCAATTGATTGTTGATTCGATATATTACAGTGTCTCAGCCAGTCGCAATCCTTGTTTTTAATTGATTGAATAACAAGTAAATACCGGTCACGCAAGCATGCAGATCTTGATACTGAAAATAGAACCCGCAAAAGGGCGCTGAGATAAGCGCTGAAACGGGTTCATTCGCAAACTGCCAGATAAATAAATATTCATAAGCAATGACTTACTTATCGCCCTTCGAGGCGTCAATATCAATCCATGATGCCTGCAAAATGCTAGATAAAAACCCGAGGAAAAAAGATGGTAGTTTGTTGACGTTTTTGGCAAACATTTATACGTATGCTAACGCACTTTACAAACGAAAGCTTGTAAACGCCACAGACTTCACCATGAGGTCAACTGAGACGCGAAACGTTCAAAATGCCGTGTATTGCTCTTGCAATTCGAGATGCACCGATCGCACAATCTACTGAAATCGCATATCTCTATGTTCCAATCTCGATATCTAAAGCATCTAACAACCTCATTGGGGTAAATTTTTCAGCAGCATTGCTTTTTGCATTGTCACTAATTAACCATAGGAAATGGATAAGCCATTGAAAATTGACCACATTCCTTTACTCCCAAAATTTGACTCCCGTGTCTGTTAACTGGTAAACAAGTGTCTCGTAACACTGGCCGATAATTTAAGTGACTATTTGCTGTGATATGCTCTAGCATTCATCTGTAAACTGTTTTCATTTCCGCATCTAGTATTGTCCTAGCTGCACTGAACCCACAGGGGTTTCGATTTTAAAACGTTTCCGTGTGAATTCGTATTTTTTTTGGCTGCGTTGACTCAATCCGTTCAGCACGAAATCGGTTGCCATCAGCCGTCAAAGAACTTGATACGTTGTATCACGCCACACTATCGTTGCCGAAAGCATCTAACTAACTCTGAAGCAGGTAAAAATTTTTAGTAGCAGCGCTATCTTTTTCATTGTCAACTGGGTTGACAGTTAGATGAACGCTGAGAATTGACCAAATTCCTTCACTCGTGTCTGTATCAAAAGTAGTAAATGAGTATCATGTAACACTAACAGTGACAAAAGTGATCATTTGCTGTGATATTTTCTAAAAAAAACGGCCAAGAACATCGAGAAACAGTTCTCATTTCCGCATCTAGCATTGTCCGAGCTGATTAAACAGCGCGACAGTTGTCGATTTCGCGCGTCCTTGGAATTTTAAGACGACTGTGCATGAATTTGTACTTTGAAAATAGTCGATCTTCCTTACCTTTGCATTTGGCGGTTCAGGATTAAATCGGTTTCCATTACTTAAAGAATGTGATGCGTTTTAGCCAGCCACTAGAAATTAATTTCCTCATGAAGCGAACGACGCTGTTACTAGTAAGCACTCATTCTGTCATCCGCGGTAATTTGTCAGACGTCTGACGCGAAATGCGTTAATAAATATGTTCTTAAGTGCTGTTTTCTTTATATAGAACCTGGTTATCGTAAGAAAGTTTATCTTGATCAGTACATTACGTTGTATTTGCAGAAAGCCAAAGTCAAAGTTGTGAAACAACCACTTTTCAGAGTTAAGTATTTACTTTCTGTCCAAAATGTTATTCGACAATAAAAAATGAACTATAGCTTCGAAAATACTAGAGCGTTTTGATTTTTCTATTTCTGTTTCCTGCCTTTCTAAAGGCGATCAGAGTTTGTTTTCTCTCATCCTTCTTATATAACTTGGAGGCCGAGTGATTTCCTGCATGGGTGACAGATTGTGAGTTCAAGCAAGAAGGCATTGTTTCATGTTGACCGCTGTCGCAGAACGTGAGCGAACAACAATAGAGCATTCATTTCCTGTGTAATATTAATGATTGATTTTTTGCCAATAATCTCTTTCATCTTCGTGTAATTAAAAGCGAACAGGAAAAAAAAAAAAAAAAATAAAACAGAAAATGACAAATCTTCCACTTGCTTTTATGGTTCCCCTTCAGAATATATCTCTGGCGAAATCACTAACTTTGCCAAGCTGACCGATAAGTCAGTCAGCCTGGGATCTTTGTCCGGATTGAGGAAGGGGGGAGGGGTGGGGAGAGACTCTGTCTTGCGTAGACGACAAACCACTGAGGCCTTGTTACGGGGAGGCGGAGGGGGGGGGGGGGGGGGGGGGGGNTTCTCCCGATTTGTAATACATTGTGAAAACAAGGGAAAAAATGCTAATCTTAAGTATTTTTTTGCGATGTATTACACTTTCTTCTCATATCATCTCACCTAGTCTCTCACCGTGTATTGTGCAGACTCATCAGGCCAGCAGTCTTACTCCATTTAGCAGCTCCAAAATGCAGGAAAAGGCATTTAAGAAAACCTAAATTTGCAAAATTTCCTGGTGAGCATGGTCCCGGACCCCCCTAGAGGCTGGCGCCTTCGGTGCTAAAAGAGTCTCCCTATTTTCCTTCAAAATGGGTTGGAATCTCTGACCGAGTGTCATGGCAAGGAAGAATTTCTGGCCCATTAGCCCAAGGAGGGTAAAAGGTTAAGCCTGTAAAGAAGCCAAGTGGCCCATCAGGCCGGAGCTTATCCTGATTTCTGTAGCCTCAAGCGACTAGGAGTATTTCTACTCCCCCTGGATGGGATGCTAGTCCATTGCAGGGTTATCCCCAGCAGTAAGTTCGCCGGTGTCCATTTATACACCTGGGAGAGAGGCACTGTCTGAGTAAAGTGCCTTGCCCAAGCACACAACACAATGTTTCTGGCCAGGGCTCGAACCCGGACTGCTCGATCCGGAGAAGTGTGCACTAGCCATGAGGTCACCGCTCCTCCCATATTAGTCCAAGGAGGCTATTGTAATCTCTGTCCCAGAGGCCTTATGGTAAGCACCATGAAATTGAGAATTCTGGGAGAAAAAGGCCGCGGGGCAGGGGGGACTCCCATACAAAAAGGTAGGGGCCGGGGTACTCACCGTACCTTTTAGGAGTTAAAAAAGCGGTTTTGATACCTCTAAAAGCAGTTTTGGTACACTATCCACCAGATAAATTGCTATCCAGTGGATAAGTTTTGGTTCTACTATGCTATCCTCTGAATAGTGATTTATCCGGTGGTTCGCATTATCCACCCTTTGAGTGCTCAACTGGGGCTTGGGTAGAGAGAATAGGTGCTGTAAAACTGGCTAGACCAGTATAGTCAACAGAAAATGTTTGTAATTTATGCATGTAAATGCACTTTTAATTAAATTATATATCAAAATGTCTCTCCTGTGTGATACTTAACATCAAATAAAGCTGCAAGCATCTCAAGTGCACAGCTATCCCTGGAAAAGATCAAAGGATGAAAAATATCCCAACAGTTTGGTCTTAAAAGCTGTAGATGGAAGTAGTAGCTGAGTAGGTATACAGGAAATTCGCAGAAAATAAATTATTGCAACCACCTGCCTCGTTCAGCTTAACACAACCTTTTCTACGTTCTCAAAAGGAAGAAAACCATGGATCTTACAGGGCCCCAAAAAACTTGAATTCCAGCTTGCCCTTGGCAAGGGTAGCTCTCACATTTTGATTGCCCATGGCAAGTCGTAGTTTGCTCTTTTAATGATCTAGTTGGCAGATTACTTGCTTGATACCTTGCCCATCAGGCAAGTGAGAGTGAAAAGTTACTTGACCAGAAGGAAAATCTACTTGTCCAGGACAATGGGACAGCACTTTTTTCGAGCCCTGGCTTAAAGGAGCTCACTCATGGTATTTTGAGTTCTTTTGGCCACATAAAAATTTACCTTTTAATTGAAGGAAAGCTGAAAATAGTTGTTTACCAAGAAAGAAAAACACAAAAGAGATAATATTAAACCACAAAGGAAGAACGAAGGTTAAAATGCAGAAGATTAACATGGATCACAAATGACGTCATGAAAGGGATTAAATAATAATATAATAATAATAATATTCTTATTAACTATATATAATATAATAAAAGCTTTTTATTTAGACTAATTTAGACTAAACTTTTCAAGATGTGCAAACTGTGATGTAGTTCCTTTAAGGCTTTGCACTCTGATCAAAGTTCACAGAACTTGTCATGAGACCAATAAATTAATTAATACAAATGTACTATGAATTATCTCAGTCAGAATGCAAAGCCTTTAAGGATTTTTAGCCAAAGAACAAGAGTAGACAATCGTCATGAAAGGGATTAAATAATAATATAATAATAATAATATTCTTATTAACTATATATAATTTAATAAAAGATTTTTATAGTACCAGAATTCTAATGTTCAAAGGTACTTTACAATATCAGAGAACATCAACAAGCTGCCATACACAGCTAGAAGTAAGTCCTCAGTCAGAGGATCTAAATATTGTCAACTGTAGTGAAAGTTTAAGCTGGTCCACATGAATTTTACAGTTGGCTGTTAACATTGGTAAGTTCGAAATCTTGCTAACTCTTAACTTGTTCTCCAACTAAGAACCTAAAGGATTAAATTACTAAGTCAGTCATTACCAAGGTGGCAGCTAGTAACAAGCAAGTCTCAGTCGTTTTTTTTTTGTTTTTGTTGTTGTTATTTTGAAGGGGGAAAGTAAGCCACTGCTAGCATAAAATAAAAAATAAACAAATACTGGTATATAACACTGGCTCAGTCATAATTTTTTTTGGCAACAGCCCTTATTACTACCATAAGCAGGGGTCTCATTAAAGTTATCAGCAGGAGGGCAACTGGATTTCACAGGTGGATAAAACTTCTTTATATAAAAAAAAAACTTTCCCCTAGATGGTCAAACCAGGGGAGCAAAATGGTCCTCACAGTCGGTCTATTTGCCCCATGCCCAGCCCTTAATGAAACCCCTGCCATAGCCTGATTAATGTTTAGACAAAGCTGAAATACGTGGACTAGAAGAAAGGTCAGAACTGCTACTGTCACCATCTGAATCAGAATGATCCCTGTGTGTAAGTCCCAGCCGCTGTGTATTGTCACTTGAACAATTCCTTTTTTCAAGACCTAATATTTGGCGCTTCACAAGCTTTGAATATAGTCCATTCTGTTCCACAAGCTCTCTATGCTTGCCTTGTGCAATGACTCTACCTTGGTCAATAACCACAATCTTATCTGCTTTCTCTATGGTACTCAAGCGATGAGCAATTATCAATACTGTGTGGCCAGCTAAATTCTTGTAAATTGCATCCTGGACAAGATGTTCACTCTCTGCATCAAGGGCGCTAGTTGCTTCATCAAGAAGGAGAATTCGTGGATTTCGCGCCAATGCTCTAGCAATGGCAACTCTTTGCTTTTGCCCACCCGATAGCTGCAGACCCTTTTCCCCAGTTTCAGTGTCATAACCCTCTGACATATCACTGATAAAAGAATGTGCATTGGCAAGATGGGACACACGTTCTACTAAAGTTTGATCAATGTTGCCACCATTCCCAAGACCATACGCAATGTTTTCTTTGATTGATCTGGCAAAAAGAACGGGTTCTTGCCCAACCAAGGCAACTTTGCTGTGCAGATACTTGTGCTCAAAATTCCTCACAGGGATAGAATCAATCAGAACTTCTCCAGAAGTTGGTTCATAGAAGTGTTCTAGAAGACTTATGCAAGTGCTCTTTCCACCACCGCTTGGACCGACAAGAGCAATCACTTCACCAGGTGTCACACTAAAAGATACTTTGTCTAAAACTAAAATATTTGGTCTTGTGGGGTATGCAAATGACACATTTTCAAACCTGACTTCACCTAAAACTTCACTGGGGTTGACAATACCATTGTTCTGGATTTTAGGTTTTCGGTCAATGAGCTCAAATACCTTCTCAGAAGCACCCACCGCTTCCAGAAGACCTGTATAAATATCTCCAATTTCACTGATGTAGAAGCCAAGCTGCAATTGGTACAATATGAATGACACAAGGTTTCCTCCACTAAGTTCTCCTTCAAGTACCAAATGGCCACCATAAAGCAGAACCACAACGTCAAGGGTAAGTGTAAGGATTTCTGTGCACCATCTGTAGCCTCCATAGAGATATGATTCCTTCATTTTGAGTCGATATATAGCTTCTTGTTTGTTCTCATAATGTTTGTACTCACCATCTTCATTAGCAAAGCTTCGCACAGTCTTCATTGAAGAAATTACTTCTGCTGCAATTTCATTTGCTTTGGCAGTTGCTTCTTGTACTTGTGTTGAAAGTTTTTTGAAGTAATTTCCGAAAATTTCAGAGATAAATGCAACAAGAGGGAGGCCAATTAACGTAACAATGCTTAACTTCCATGAAAGTTTAAACATAAAGACACATGTTCCAGTGGATTGGACACAGTTACGAAGAAAAACATTTATGTTCAATCCAACTTGATCTGACATTTTTGTTGTGTCAGAGGTCAGACGCGAGACTACCTCTCCGGTCTTTGTATTGTCAAAGAATCCAATTTCCTGTTTTACAATTGAAGCAAACAAAAAGTTGCTGA